ATATGCAGACAATTGTTTAAAAGATCGAAATCAGATTTCATACTTAGTAGTGATAGTCATAAGGTTCATAATATGCTGATCTCAACCATTACGATGTCCAAATTACCTTTGTATACATGTCATAGCAGACACACACTGTTCTAGTTTTAAAGTTGAATAGTGAATAGATGATTGTTTGTTTCAGAAAGTGATTGATACGCATCTCAGTGAAAAATTGGCCTATTGTTTTAGTATTGGTTATTTCAGAAAAAAAATTATATGTTTATAGTTTTCTATGAAGGTTTAAACTGTTGATGTATATTATAATACTAGTTTAAGTTTTATAAAAAAGGTTAAATTTGAAAGTTACCTCAACCCTTTCTCTTCTACTGTAGATGAAGAGAAAGAGGTATGCTATAATCATGTCAGTTGGTGTTTTATTGTCTCTGCCTACCCAAACAGGAGTTAGGCGTGACGATGTATATATAATAAGTATTTTAAAACATGCAATCATAATTATCTCCATTGTGGTCATAAAATTTTGAGTCTTGATTAGTACCTATAAAATTTGTACGCCACTATTGGCGAAACATGAACGCTCAACAAACTATTTATTATCTTGCATGTCTGACTGCTCAGCTGTTTGAAAAATAAACAATCTTTATTTCTTCTTTCTTTAATAAGAGCAACACAAAAACGTATTAGATAAGTTCTTCACAATAAATAACACAACTTAAACATGAATATTCTAATAAAACACTGCATACGAACTTTGAAACGAAATAATGGTGTGAATTAAATCGACCGAAGAAACATATGAATGCGGATCCCCGTCTTTTGTTACCTACATTATAATACATGAGATGTAATTCTTCAGCGAATATGCCGCGACGCTAAAGTTACACCGAGTGGAAATTTGAAAAGTTTCTTTATATACTCACTCGTTATTTCAGCGTAGAGTAGAAAATTGCACAGCAAAATACTTTGCCTCTATAATAGAATATGTTTAAGTGAAATGTCATCGCATTATTTACACTCGTGTTCGCATTTTAAAAATAGTTGAAGTGCTTCTATATATGTTTAAAAGTTGGTTGAAATGTGTTTCATTAAAAGAAAAATGAATGTTTATGAATGTATATTATGTATTGTATGTATAGCGTTGGACGTCACAATGCATTGGATGTTTTGTGAAATAGTTCTGAGTAATCCATCTCATAGTTCTGAGTAATCCGTATCACTGTACATCTGACCTCTGTTTGTTATTAAAAGACACGGTACAAATTCATTTATTTACTTTCAGGATAAATCAGATAGTCACTAAATAAAAACACAAAATCCTTAAATGTCCATAGCTATTTTGTGGAACATTTAACCTTATGTTGTTTTATTTACGGTTGAAATTAATAATAGCTGTTGTTAAGCAAAAATCTCTGAGTCGATGTAGATTTTTGTCAAAAATTCAATAAAACTAATGTCAAAAATCAACCTTCGTCCGAATATTTTGAATTTAAATCGTTTAATAGATAACTTCGGGTGTTCTTAGGTATTGATTACAGCTGTCACTCCTAGCGGTGTATCATAGACTGCACTTGTGTATTAGATTATGTAATACATATATTACTAGTGTAGGTATCGTTTAATGCATTATGTGCAAATTATATCGATAGGGTAAACGATTAAAATCGATTAATGTTTCTGATAAACTATCATATAACATTTTGTTGATCCTTATCTTAAAGTGTTCCGAGTAATAGTAGCGATACGATCTGAAATCATATCGAATGTCATTAAATTTTTCAAATCGCATATTTTTTATCATGTCAATGTGAAATTGCATTCACAGAAAAAAAATTACGTAAATGTAATATAATACGGATTGAGAATAAGAGAATCATATTTTTTTCATGATTTATTAGGTTTTCTTTCTTTTTCTTTCAATTCATATACTTAAAGCATAGAATACACTTTGGACATCGTTATGGCACAATGTTGATTCCATTTATTCTTCCTACATGTATAAATGTGTGATATGACTGTTCTACAGATACGACTACGTCATATTACAATAACCATAATACAAGGAATACTGCACCAGTCACATTGTAAAATACGTTTTATAATAAATACAATAAGAGGTATTATCTTTAAATACGCAGAATGGTGAATTACCGGTGCAGTATTACCGGAGAAAACTGTTTCGTTTATGTATTTTATACTTTGTGTGTTCATTTTATTAAAATATATGATTTATTTTATAGAAAACACTACATCTATCTTATTCATATAAGTTCTGCTTTTTCCATGAATGAAAATGTTTTGGTTGACAGTCGTCGTATGTAGTAGCAAATGGTTAAATACAGAAGGTATTGTCACGATATACGTCACTTTTAAAAATTCTGAAGACGTTGTAACACAAAAGGATTCACAGGTCAGTTTCATTGAAACTCTTAATTATAAACACACAAAGGCTAAAATTCTATTGTGATTTTAAAACAATAATACTATTGTCTACCAAAATTCTAACATTTCGAATCGCGAGATTCTTTATTTTCTTTCTTGATGCATGTCGAGGCTGTCCGTTTCAGGTCATTACCTAAAATTAAAAATATTAATTGTTTTTTTATACTCATGCTCTTAAAATATTAAGTGAGTGCTATATAAATTTGGTGCCGGTATTGTTATATAACCATAAACTGTATTCTATCTAAGCCAGTGTCTGATAATTGTGAACGAAAAGGAATTCAATATGAAAGGTATGATTTTTATTTTTTTATATGTATAAAGAAAATGTTTTGGTTTCTTAATATTATGCACAAACTTATATCGTAAACTAAACTGATTTGCTAATATTTGCAAGCCATTTTAATGTGAAAAGAAAGGTTTGATTAATATTACAGTTGGTATCACATTTTCTTCTGGAAATAAAATCTTACAAACCAATTTCAAGTTTACATGCTTATCATTTTAATTATTACGAATTTGAAAAAAGAGATGGCGGAACGAATTCGACATGTATGACAAGGATTGGCCGCAAAAAGCTTTACATATAGAGAAGTGGATGGAGGGTAGGGAGGCATTTGCCCTGCAGTGAGACGATCATAGCTGAAATAATTAAATGAATGACTGTGGAGCAGATTTCACGCCCTTTCTATCTACGGATAATTTATACATCGATGTAGTTGAATTTTTTGATGCATTGTAAATAATTTCTTAAACTGTCCTTGCGTTTTTTTTAATTGTATGTAATCATTATAATTTAGTAATGTCGTTTTACATTTAAATATCGATCACTACCCGATATTATTATGAAAACTGACTGCCTCGTTGGCCGAGTGATCGCAAGTGCGACTGCAGAGCAAGCGGTCTCGGGTTCGATTTCCAGGTCGGGCAAAGAATTACTAGAATTTTAAAAAATTCTCATTAGTAGCTCGGAGTCTGGAATTGTGTCTGGTATATGGCAATAGGCTCACCTCCTATTACATGGGTGTTACATTGTACAGTGGTATAATGGCACCTCTGCCTACCCCTTTGAGGATAAAAGGCGTGATGTTATGTTAGGTTATTATAAAAACTCATTAAATGTGTAAGCAATAGAAACACTAGTATGCTTCATCAGACTTGTTATGTACAAATCACAACCAGTTAAATACACATTCCATTTGTTACAGATATTATAACTCTGGTGCTGATCTATTCAACAGGAATTGCACTTGCTGACCTAGGAGATATTTATAATAATGGCTGTCCAAAGGATACCAGCATTAATAAACTTTTGCCACACGAAAACTGTAATCAGTATTATCAATGTTTCCACGGAGCACTAATCACCAGGTACTGTCCATCTGGGCTTCATTTTAATATAAAACGAGAACGATGTGATTGGCACGGAAATCCAAAATGCAAAAGCAAAAAGGCTAGGACTGACGGAAGCAAGCTTCCGGACTCTAGCGAAGAACTGGACCCTAGTAATCCCAACCATGCAGGATTAATTTGCTCTAGCCCTGACTCCAATGGTGCATTGGTAGCTCATGAAAACTGTAATGAATTTTATAAATGCTCCTTTGGTAAACCAGTGGGTCTTAAATGTGCTCCAGATCTTTTATATAATCCTACAAATGAAAAATGTGAATTGTTTCAAAATGTTGATTGTAATGACAGAATTGTGCCTGTTAAGGAAAAATATGTCACGTCAAGATCAAAACCCAAAATAACTGCATCTGCAACTGAAATTTGTTCGAATAGTCCCGATGGCGTGCTGATTGTACATACATTTTGTACCAAATTCTATAAGTGTACTGGGGGGAAAGCGATTGCCATGAGTTGCCCTAGTCATTTAATGTATAATCCTGTTATACAACACTGTGACTGGCCACGAAATGTAGACTGCACAGACAGAATGATCAATGAAAATGACGACAGCACTTCAAAATCCGATGAGATTGATGAGAATGAAATTCCTGCTAGTGATGAAGAAAATGCAGCAGCGGTTTGCGCAAATGAAAATTCTGAAGGGCTTGTAGTTTCTCATGAAAAGTGTAATCATTACTATAAATGTAAACGCAATATTCCCATTGATTTTAACTGTCCAGATCATCTGTATTTCAATGCAATCAAGAAAATTTGTGACTGGCCAGACAACGTTGAATGTGGTGAAAGATTTACATCTGACAATGATATCGACGGCGATGGTTATACTCCTCGAGCAGAATTTGGGCAACATCAAAGTGAACCTGTAAGTGTACGAGCTGTCTGTTCCGCTGAAGGATCAGATGATACGCTGATTGCGCATGAATATTGTAATCAGTTCTATAAATGCCGTGACGGACAACCAATAACGATGACATGTCCAGGTAATCTTTCCTACAACCCATCAAAGGAATTTTGTGATTGGTCAAGTTTCGTTGATTGTGGTGAGAGGATGGTTCCTTACGCTCAAAATGATAACAATGGTCCTGTTAATGGTCCTGTTAGTAATGCTCTTAAAAATAACGACCCCAGTGATCCTACTGACGCACCTGCCATATGTGCTTCAGAAAATTCAGATGGCATATTAATTGCTCACGAAAATTGTAACCAATTTTATAAGTGCTATGAAGGTAAACCAATGGCTTTATTCTGTCAACTGAATCTTTTTTACAACCCTAAGAAAGGTTACTGTGACTGGCAACACAATGTTAACTGTGGCAATAGAGCAATTCCCGGAGAAAGTAATACTAGCGAAGAAGAAAGTAATTTTAGTGATTTATGTGCAGGCAACGAAGGTAAAATATTGCCACATGAAAACTGTAGTCAGTTCTATAAATGTATGAATGGTCAACTATTTCCTATGGATTGTCCACCAGACTTATATTTTAACTCTATGCTTAAGGTTTGTGATTGGCCAATGAACGTTGATTGTGGACAACGCTTAACAGAGTCACAAGCTCAAAACACACATGGAATAATACGAAGAGCACATGGTGTCGTAGTACTTAGTTAATTTGTAGATTTAATTAATCATGGATATGATGAAAAACCTCTCATTATGGAGAGGAGGTTCTTATTTCAGTGGACTGTGAGCGGCGGTTAATGAGATGTGATAACACACAAATAGTATTTAAACTTATAAAGCCGTTAAGGCCATTTAGACAACGTGATTTCCTTTGGCTACTTGTCTTTTTCAGCTTTAGAGTGTGCTAATTGCTTGTTATTATGTAAATTTATTAACATAAATATATTTTTTATAACAATACAAGACGTTGTTTTCTAGTAAATAAACATGTAATACACTTAATTATTTAAGTTCCTTAATGTAATTAATTTAGAAGACAAAAATGAATAACTGCCAAATATAATTTAAAGAATAAATTGATTGTTTTCTATTTTAACTGCCTTGACACATTTGCATATTTGCAGAATCAATAAAGAATCATGAACCGCTTGGAGGGTAAATAAATAGAAACTGTCAAATTAATATTGTTTATCTTTCTTAAAATTGCGTATCGAGTAAGCTAATTTAATAAGAGAAGAGATAAAATAGAGCTATAAAACCACAGTACAGTCTTATTCAAAATCTCTTTTTAAAGAAAAGTACTGATATGGATATTTTTGTTAATTTTAACAAAGTGGTTTTATTATAGAAATATTATTTTCTGTGAATATTGACCTGAGTGCATTTGAAAGTTGCCTCGTTGGCCGAGTGGTCGCAAGTGCGACTGCCGAGCAAACGATCTCGGTTCGATGCCCGGGTCGGGAAAAATATTACTGGGTTTCATAAAAAATCTCAGTGATAATACGGATTCTGGAATTGGCACAAATAATATGAATTGTAGGAAATTTAGTAATTGAAGAGTAATTTGTGATCATTTGCTTAATCAAGCAATAAAAATGAATTGAATATAAAGCTATAATTTTATTTTCTTTGTTCAAAGTTTTTATCTTTGTCATCAGATTCTTAAGTACAATAAATTGCAATCATTTTAAGATCAGTATCCTTATCTTGATAATTTATCATGATGCAGTTTAAACATTAACCAACTGAAGTATAAATTACAAATCAATCGAAGTACGTTCGCATTTAGTGAAGTATCTTTTTGGACAATTGTGAAAAAAAGGCTGTCATGAAAGGTAAGATCCATTTTACGTGTAATAAATATATTACTTTATAAGTGTCTCTAACAAAGAAAAAATGTATCTGGTAAAGAATATATTAGATGTGTAGAAATACGTACATAACATTTGTGAGTAATTCAGTATTCAAAATGGGCATTATTTAGCAGTTCGCTATGGTACCTGATGAGTGATGACTATACATAACTCTGATAAAATCCATCGAAAAATAACACAAGCGATTTCATGCATTATTTTTCTTGTAGAAATAATACAATCATGTTAACTGTGACAAATAGAATTAAATAAAATCATAACAATAACGTTACATAAGACAATACTCGTTTTAAGTATTATTTTGAAGTTTTTAACTAAATTTTTCAAAATAATTCGGCTCTTAATGAAATTACAACTAAAATTCACTTTTCTTACAGGAATAACGCTGTTACTCATAACAGCAGCAGCTCTAGCTCACGCTAATCCTGCGCGTTTTTTTGAAAATGGATGTCCTAAAGATACCAGTAAACTACTGCCTCATCAGGATTGCGGCCGATTCTTTGTATGTTTTAGGGAAATAAAGTTCGTTAGAGAATGTCCACATGGGCTGCATTTTAATGCAGAACTCGAACTCTGTGACTTGCCAAGAAATGCGAAATGCAATTTGAATCGACTTGAACACCATTCAGATTCTGGAACACATTTACGCAATGGTAGAAACGAAAATCCAGCAGTAATATGTTCGAGTGAAAATTCTGAAGGAGTCTTGTTTCCTCACGAAAAATGTAATCAGTTTTACAAATGCTCCGGCCGCCACCCAGTTGCGTTCGATTGTCCAACAAATCTTCTTTTCAATGAAATCAGTAAAATGTGTGATTGGCCTGAAAAGGTAGATTGTGATAACAGATTAATAGCTGATGATACTGATGGTGGAAATAACGATAATAAAAATTACGCCCCTGACGTAGGAGTTGGAGTTGATAATCATGATCCCAACCAAGCTCCTGTTATTTGCGCTACTGAAAATTCGGATGGAGTTTTGGTTGCACATGAAAATTGCGATCGATTCTACAAATGTTTTGACGGACACCCAGTAGCCTTAAATTGTCCAGATAATCTTCTCTATAATCCAGAAATGGAATATTGTGACTGGCCGTGGAAAGTCAACTGCGGGGAAAGGACAATTTCTGACGACAAGGAAGTTATTGATAATAACGGTGGTAATAATCAGGAAGGAGTTGGAAATGTTGGTAACAATGCTGACCCCAGTGAAGCACCTAAAATTTGTGCCGCAGAAAACTCGGACGGAGTATTAGTTGCACATGAAAATTGCGATCGATTTTACAAATGCTTTGACGGACACCCGGTAGCCTTAAATTGCCCTGATAATCTTCTCTATAATCCAGAAATGGAATATTGTGACTGGCCGTGGAAGGTCAACTGCGGGGAAAGGACAATTTCTGACGACAAGGAAGTTATTGATAATAACGGTGGTAATAATCAGGAAGGAGGTGGAAACGTTGGTAACAATGCTGACCCCAGTGAAGCACCCAAAATTTGTGCAACAGAAAACTCGGACGGAGTATTAGTTGCACATGAAAATTGTGATCGATTCTACAAATGCTTTGACGGACACCCGGTAGCCTTAAATTGCCCTGATAACCTTCTCTACAATCCAGAAATGGATTATTGTGACTGGCCGTGGAACGTCAACTGCGGGGAAAGGACAATTTCTGACGACAAGGAAGTTGTTGATAATAACGGTGGTAATAATCAGGAGGAAGGTGGAAACGTTGGTAACAATGCTGACCCCAATGAAGCACCCAAAATTTGTGCAGCAGAAAATTCGGACGGAGTATTAGTTGCACATGAAAATTGCGACCAATTCTACAAATGTTTTGAAGGTAAACCTGTGGCTATGAACTGCCCAGTCAATCTATTTTACAACCCTGAACAGGGTTACTGCGACTGGCAATTCAATGTTAAGTGCAATAATAAAGTAATTCCTACACAAAATAATGATGGTAATGGAAACAATTTTGTTAACCAGTTGTGCTCAAGCAATGACGATGATATTATACCCCATGAGAACTGCAATCAGTTCTATAAATGTGTGCACAGTCATATGGAACCCATGTCCTGTCCACCAGGTTTATACTTTAACACCATAATCAAAGTCTGTGATTGGCCTATGAATGTTGACTGCGCACAGCGCAAAAAGTAAACAGTTAATCAGTATTTCCAAGATTTACCTACGTTTTTACTCAAATTTATGTAATAAGTACCTACTTAAAACGTTATTTTTTATTTGAATGATTCTTTTTAACTATTTTTAATTTACCTTTTTCAGAAATGTGTTTTATGATATGTTGTAAGGCGTTATTATTTTTTCAGTATTATTAAAATTTAATTTTGTAATTTTTTAATAAATATCCAGATTCCGTATATTTTGAATTTTATTTTGGAACTTAACTTAATAGATTACGTCATATTATGTTCATAAAAAAGATTTGGAATAAAACAAATTAACATTAACTAACGTTGGAGTAGATAAAAATGGTGTACCTCAAGGTAGTGTTATTGGACCATAAATATTTCTACTTCGAACTAACAATCTAGAGATTGAAAGTTGCCTAATGATACTATTGATTTAATAAAATATATAATTTAATGCATAGACAAAAAAAATATGACAGATTTAACCAATCTTCGGAAACAATGGAATCTTCAAAAGAATTAAAACGTTACTGTTATTATCAATTTGTACAAATACATAGACAAATGTAATGTACTTTTTCCACTAACCAAAAATGTTCAAACTGTCCTACTAATTTTATAAATCCGAAAGTTTGTATGTTTTTTTGTTACCCTTTCACGTCAAACCGGCTGAAGGGGTCGATACGAAATTTGGAACAGGGGTAGACTATGGTCTGGAGCACATATACTACTTATTATTCCACTGGAACACGGGCGAAGCCCGTAATTATTTAACTCGTCGAGTACCGTCATTATAGACACAATTATAGAACAATAGGTTGCGGTCACCGGTGACCGCTTGGTGTTTGACAGTTTAAGCATAAACTAACTAATTTTAATCCTCAAAAGAGTAGGAAGAAGAGATGTACATAATGTTCAATTTGACATCCAATTACGAAATTATGTTATGACTAGCTTTGCCAGCGACTTCTGCCGCATCGAACAGTGATTCACAGGTCTTCTCCCGTAAGTGATAGCGTGATAATATATAGCCTATATGTTGAACCGACTTGTTAGTAATATTCATGAAAACAAACAGACAAAAATTTTTAAAATTATATTGTTGGTTTTTTTTTTTTTTTAAAAAACGTTGCCCCACACTAGGATTTTCTCCTGTGTCGTGGGTGCGTTTACAAACATACAATATCACATACACATGACACCCAGACCCGGAACAACAATCTGTGGATCACACAAAGAGTTGTTCCGTGTGGGAATCGAACCCGCGACACGTTGCACGGCAGCCAGTTGCCCAGCCACCGCGCCAACCGTGCAGTCAATATCGATTGTTGATCATGCCCCAAGCAATCTTTTAAAAAAAGATTCAATGTACAGTTTTCACTTTCCTACGATTTTATTATATGTGTAGATATCCGTGACGTAATAGGTAGACCAAATTTTACACACTAAGCACTCAGTATTAAAAACAAAATAAATCAAGAAGTAATTGCAACAAAATAAATCAAGAAGTAATTGCCAGTGTTACTTAAAATGGTTCACGGTTGTGGGAGCGTTAGTGATAAATCTATACATATTATAAAAACTGTAGAAGTTAAAATTCTGTTCATTGAAAATATTAAAAAGTAAATAGTAGGGTCTAGATAGATACCGAACACAAACACGTGAATAAAAAAAAAATTGTCCGTCTGTATGTACGTTCACACATCACGCAAAAACTTCTGGTCCGATTACAATGAAACTTGGCAAGAATATACTTTAATATCTTGTGCACACCACTAATTACTTTTAATCCCTGAAAAAGTATACAATAAAAAAATCTTAATTGTACGGGCCAATCCCTAGACAAATTTACTGTACCAAACGTAAATATAAGTTTGTCGAGTGTTAAGTTGCTCACAGTGGACATTGCGCTGTAACTATAGGGCCGATAGTTGAAATTAGCTTGAACTAATAGTACAAATGTGAAAATATTTATGTCAGTTTGTGTGTATGTTTGTTACTCAGTCAAATCAAAATTGCTGAAGGGACCAGGATGAAATTTGAACCAGAGGTAATTTTTTTTATAGCATAAGCCTATAAACGAGGAGACGGATCACCTGATGGTAAGCAATCGGCACCGCCCATTGACACCCGAAACACCAAGGCGTTACAAGTACGTTATCGGTCTTTTGGGAACTGGGAATTTGAGGATTGTGGAGGATTCGGGGATTCGGGAGACCAAGAGATAATTGAGCCTCCGGTAACCTCACACACACGACGGAACACAACGCAAGCGTTGTTTCACATCGGTTTTCTGTGAGGCCGTGGTATCACTCCGGTCGAGCCGGCCTATTATCGGACGAATATCGTCCCGAAGCATGGCTCTCCCACACCTATTATGATCTTATGATTGATTTTTGATTGAAATTACGATCCGAAGTAACACATAGGCTCCTTTCATCCCTGAGAACGTGGGCGAAACCGCTATCAGAAGCTAATAAGGTCAATAAAACTTTTTAAACAACTGTCCAAGAAATAAGTTTACTAATGACTTTTACGCATTGTTATCTTACCGTGTCACCCGATGCGTGTGGTCTACACAAATGCTGTAATATAAGAAACAGTAAAATTTTATCATACTCAATTTTTTGCACACAAATCATTAGAGGAAGCGATTAATTTGATTAATTGCTTTGATAATTCTTTATAATTATATTATACCTACACAGCTAAGTACTTATTATGTTTTATCAAAATAGAGGATGTTATATAATATCTTTTAAAGAAAAGATTTGCAATATATATTACGAGATACACGTTTCCACAATCATGGGGGGGTGTATATGTATTTTAATGCCAATAGAAAACTGTTGAACGCTAGTCCTTCGCCACGTCGGTCATCAATTTCCACCATGGCGATTGATAATAATGAATTTTACCATTAGTTGAGTTTTGCAAAAAGTGTTTTGTCTGTATGCACCTGTAAACATCTAGTTCAGGGATATAGATGGCTCATTGTTAAGCAGTTTATTGTCATCGGCTGCTTACGGTGACGTAAGTGATTGTATAAATGTGTGTAAAAGTTCTTTTTCTTCTTCTTCTAATCTAATCTTGGTAGAAGAAAGACTACATACCACCGAACTCAATTTCCTAGGTTTCATCCCCAAGCCCGTTCTTGTAGAAAAAAAGTAAATTTGTGAAGAGAAACGTTGATGTGGGTGCTCATGATCATGATCACATATTGTCAGGCTGTAGTGCCTATCCCATCAAAATATTAGGGTAATTGGGCCTCCCATAAGCTTACTCACATGACAAAACACAACGAAAGCGTTGTTTCACGTGAGCTGCGGAGTGTTTAGTCAGTAAGAGTCTGACACTCCCTCTCGCCTCACCCAGGCGAGAGAAGTACATGGATGATTTTCCCTCTCAAAAAATAAAATGCGTTGTTTCACGTCGGTTTTCTGTGAGGCCGTGGTATCACTCCGATGAAGCCAGCTCATTAGTGCTTAAGCATGTGACGGCTCTGCTATATTTGAAGTTCTTTGCCAATTTATTAATTTTTAATTCGGTCAATATTCGAAATAATAACTGTTTCGTAAGTAAAACTGTGGATAAAGATATTGTTGTTTTCTTCGAAATCTTGATTACCTTTGAATCATCAATATTTATATTGTTTTTTATAATAATTATCGTTATCTGCGGCTGGTTTTCCAAATTAAATAAAATAATCTCAATAAGTCAATCTAATTGATTTTATCATAGGCATTTCAATTTAAATATTAAACGAGGGAGGTATAAATTGAATTCAATTGTGGCCCATCAGCATACAGTGAAGAATTGTTAAAAAATCACATCATGAAAGGTAAGTGAATTTTCATAAAATTAACCCACTGACTCAAAATTAAATTTAATAGTGTATGAATTTTTCTTCATTGTTGTGAGATTGAAGTTTTTAAAAAATCTAAATCATAATCATTTATTTACAATGAAACAAAAAACATGTGTATACATACACACACACACACACACAAAAAAACTTAAACATAAAATTAAACTACTATTTTATTTTACTAATTGACAAAAATAAGAATAAATGTGTTGAATTAAAAATTCTGCCCTTAATATATCATGTCCCAAAAGCTTAAGAACCTATTACAATTAACTATTTTATTTCAGGTCTTGCATTAGTTCTTCTCTGCGTTGCTTTTGCGCACGCAAATTCTTCTTGCTCACCCAATGAACACAAGTTGGTGCCTCATGAAAAGTGCAACCAATTCTACATGTGCATTGGTGGTATGAAAATTGAACTTTACTGCGCACAGGGTCTTATGTTTAACCCTGAACTTGAAGTATGTGACTGGCATCAACACGTAGACTGCAGTGACAGAATTGTGCCTGAGGAAGTTGATGGCGGAAACCAGAATGAAAATAATGAGCCACAACAACCAGGAGGACACCACTACGACGACCCCAGTCAGGCTCCTGCTATTTGCGCTGCTGAAGATTCAGATGGAATTTTGGTCGCTCATGAACGTTGCGATCAATTCTACAAATGTTTCGGAGGACAGCCTGTTGCTATGGGATGCCCAGTTAATCTTCTATATAACCCAGAACAAGAATATTGTGACTGGCCATCTAACGTAAACTGCGGTAACCGTGTTTAATATAATGACAACTTAAATTAATCATTTGTGCCCCATTATTCTAATATTTCATAAAACAATAACAAGGATAAATGTAAAAATGATTCTAAACGTTTTCTGGTTCATTAGCAACTAAATTTGCAACTTTATCGTATGGACGATGGTCATAACAAAAGTGTTTGTCTTGCATGGTAGTGTTTGCAATGTTACCGGCCACTATGTTGCAGCCACATAATAAAATACCATCTAGTACTCCAGACTTTACCTTACCTTAAGGACATATTATTTAATACTTTTTAATGACACTATTGGTATTTATCGTTTGCATTTGTTACCGTTGATATTAATAAAGTATTCAAAACGCAATTATTACTTTCTTTTGGCTTCTTCCCAACAAATTTTGTAGGCACCATTAAGTTATGAATGACTGACTGATCATTTGATCAATGCACAGGTTAAAAAAACCATAAACGTATATCTAAAAGTTAGATCATGTTTGTACATTTCTATTACGTACCTAAGCGTCTGATAAGAAACAATTTTATGAAATTCTACCCCCATAAGAGAGTAAAATGGTGCGCTTGGGGGCACAGTAGTGCCCTCGCCAAGTCGAGCGCAAAGCAAAAACCAAACTCCAAACGAAAAAAATCCAGTAAAGGATGATACGGCAATGTTTATGTTCGCATTTTCAGGCTCTTATTTAAAAACTTCTCGATAAAACCAGAATGCAGAAATTTTCATCATCTAGAAAACTATAATTGAGCCATATTTTATATTTCTTAGAAACTCATTACCTTGCTGGATTAAAACTCGTACTATATTGCCAGACAGAATGAATGACAGAAATCACTATTCTGTCACTCATGAATCACCTATCTACATTTTTTAAGATCCTTATTTAAAAATTCAATACAATTTTTGACAGGGCCAAATGAAGAAGGTTTAGCCCTGTAAACGAATTATTTTATTATGCATTACTGTATACACACTATTATCATCAGGCAACATCAATACAGTCACTTAACTCAATCTTCAGTTCTTTGTATACGGCCAACCTAATGGGTATAATCAGTTCATCTTTCTAGAGGACGCCATATATACGTAATTATATGCCATAATATAGATTGACCAAGACATGGTCTCTACTTTGGAATACATCGACTCGTCTAACGGTCATCAGTTATTTGAAAAATGTGCCTGGCCTTTTCCCAGTCGGTGAATAAACATTATTAATTTATTGCAACACACAACTAATGACCGACGAAAGTAATTATTTCTACTATATTTATAGAAGGAACTTTTAGATGTCAAACAAAAAAGTTTGTCAGTCAGTCAGTCCTCCTGTAAAGTCATTTGCTGACTTTATAGGTTGAAGGCCGAGTAATAAACTACCTGGTTACTCTTTTTCAATCAGTTTGAAATTCAATTTTAGGAGAAATTATTGGGCTACAAGGAATATAAAATATTGTCACACGTGGATGTCAAAATTATGAATTGTTCGACAAACTAAGCCTTAGTAGAACGTAGTTAATTTCTATTAACTACGTTAAATATTAGCCCGACTATGTAGATCGCACTGAAAAAATTCGAATCCACAGCACAATAGACAAGGCAGTCAGCAACATATGAAGACTGCGATATTTTTAAAAGGCTTTTTTTAGTTGATGATAATATCAATCACTAGACTATTTTATCAGATGTTACGCAGTATGTTAGGTGTAAAATGATAATGATGATAGGCCTTGAGAAATTCAAGGTTCTGATGGTTTGACAGTAATCCGACAAAAAAATAAATTAGTCATTAAAAGATAGCTATAAACATATTGATGTGTTTATGTCTACATCCTGTAGATAACATGAATAAAATAGTACCTATAGTAAAATTCAAGACCCATTTTCACCAGTTAGGTATATTGTCCCATGTCGTTTTCCGAGTCTATACTCGGATCGCAAACCTATGTTTTTAATGGGTCTGCAAGGCGCATATGATGTCTCTAGTATTGCATGCTATAATAGGCCACTGTAACCACTTACCATAAGGTGGGCCGTGAGCTTTTTTGGCCACCGTCGTGATATAAAAAATGATAATCTCTGGGTTCTAAGGGATGAGTTAGGAAACGAGTAGAGCGACATCTGGAACACCATAGGCGTTACAAGTGTATTACCGGCCTTTTGGAGATTAGGAGTTCGAGGACATAACATCA